AGCAGGCAGAAACAGACCCACAACAACCCCAGCAAAGCGGAGGGAGAGGAGCTTGGAATAAACCAAGAGCCATGGAGAGCTGTTCCCAGCCTGGAATGAGCCATGGAGAGCTGTTCCCAGCCTGGAATGAGCCATGGAGAGCTGTTCCCAACATGGAATGAGCCATGGAGAGCCGTTCCCAGCACTGCTCAAGACAGGTTTTATCTCCAGGAACCCAAGATGATTTCCCCTGCTGCCCAGCACTGCTGTGTGTCCTGGGCATGTGCTGGCCTGGGAATGCTCATCCAGCAGCACTCCAGGGAATCCAGGATTGCCAGGGGCAGGCACAGCTCTGTGTGCCAGGCACAGAAGGGGTGCCAGCAGCTCCAGCCCCTGCCCTGCCCCAGCTGCCGCTGCCAAAGGCTGGGACACTATAAATGGGAGACATTTGGAGAGGGAAAATGTTAAAGAGCCAACTTTTAACTAGGCTGAAGTGCATTGGACTGTGCATGTTCTTTGTGGAGGGAGAGAGGAGGAGAGTGATGAAGGTCTTTGGTGCTCTGCTGGAAAAATACCGGCTGCTCCTTCTGCAAACAGGAGGAGCCCTTATTTAATGGAAATAATCCTCCTCCTGAGTTCCAGGATGGGAATTCACTATTCCTACACTTCTGCATGTGGTGTTTGAGCTCGTGGCTCTGGGTGCAGTCTGGGCACAGAGGACAAAGCATTGCTGGAGCTTTGGAGCAGGAACCTGGCTGGAGGAAGCTGTGGGTTTTTCCCTGTCCTGATCCAACTGCCTGAGAGTGAGTTCCTGCTGATTTATTTTTGTGGGAGGGCGAAACCACGAAGTTCATTGCACACACAACTGCTCAGAATTTTGCTGAACTCCATAAACCCTGGAGAAAAAAGAAATAAAATAAAAAAATCCCCAAAGTGTTGAAATTAGATTCCTGTTACGAAAGAATTACTGAGAGAGCACTGTTTACCATCCCTGGACACACAAAACCATGCAGCTCCTGCAGCCACAGCCAGGCTGAGCTGCCTCAGGGCTTTGGCATCAAAGAGGCGAAGCCCAGAGCAGGCATGACCCAGGAGAGGGGAATCCAGGCTGCAATTCCCACCTGCAGGAGCCCTGTGCTGCTGGGGGCACGTTACTCAGCAGAGCTGTGCTTTGCTCTCCAGATCAGAAGGATTAAGATAACACACACTTCACCTCTGAGGACTCCTGCCAGGAGCCTGGGTTAAATAATGGAGGAGGAGGTGGAGGAGGAAGGGAAGGAGACAGAGGAAGGCAAGCACCGAGCTCACAGTAATGGAAGCAAGAGGCTCATTTTAATTTTTCAAGCCTCCAACTGCCTGAAACAAGCTGATGAGAACAATTCCTCTTTGTGTGCCAGCTCCAGTCTTCAGAGCCCATTAAATGGGGTGGATTATTTAAAACCCCTCTGAATCCCCAAGACACAGACTTTCCCCTCTGCCTGGTGCCCATGTGCACACAACGGGTGAGGAACCCCCTCCAGAAGGGCCAGGCTCTGTTCCACGTGGAGGTGGCAGGCACAGACCACTGCCTGCTGCCAGTTTTCTCATGGAAGTAGGCACCACTTCAACAGGCTATTTATTTTTCGGTGTTCCACACAAAGCTGTTGGCCCCAGGGCTGCAGGACTCTCTCCAAGATGACACAGCTCCAGGTGGGTCAAATCTGAGAGTTTCCAGCTAAGAACCTGAAGAAGCTGTTAAACACATGGGGAAATGAGAGCTGGGAAACACACTGGATGCACAGACAGGCAGGAATGGCAGGGAGAGCCAGAGCCCATTTTAATGTTGCTTCAAATTCTCAGTTTTTCTGTCCCTGAATTGTGCAGCAAGCACGTTTAGCCCAGCCCGGGTTGTGCCTCCAGCCCTGGCCTCAAAATTAAAGCTCTGTGCAGAGAAGCAGCCACAAAACATCACCCTCTGCTGCAGCTCCAGCTGGGACAGGAACTGCAGGAAAGGTTTTTGACTGCAGGGGGAAAAGCCTTGAGGTAACCTGTCCCAAAGAGGGGCAATGAGCCAGGGACAGCCGGGGGGGTCCGGGTGGACAGCAGCAGGAATTTGCCCATGGAAAGGGAGCTCAGGCACTGGAACTGCCCAGGGAGGGTTGGATCCCATCCCTGGAGGTAGCACTCAGAGCTCTGGGCTGGGGACAAGCTGGGGATGGGGCACAGGTGGGACTCTGATCTTGGAGCTCTTTTCCAACCTCAAGGATTCCCTGGAATTCAGCAGACTCCAGGCTTCACTCCTGGGTCAGTTTGTGTTTGGAGTGTCCTTCCTGCCTGCCTGGGGAGGGGAGGACACTTTGCCCCATGGCTCTGCTGTCAGCACTTATCATGCTCGTGTTTTCCTTGGCCCTGCTCCTGAAATAATTATTTAGCCACAATGGAAGGTGACAAATGATTCAGCTGTGGCCCCACTGGGAATATCAGGAGAAACTCCCCAGCCACTCAGACGGAGCTGCAGCAGCTCCCCAGCCCAGGCTCAGCCCCACCAAGCTCCTCTCTCCCACTTGGATCCAAAATCTTCCACATCCCTGCCAAGGAACAGCCAAGGAGGGTGCACCAACCTTTGCTCAATGTTTGAAAAAACAAACCCTGCTCAGCCTCTGACAGGAGCATGGAAAGTACAGCCAGAGCCACTGGGAACATTGATATTAAATGAACAAATATCCTGACCCAAACATGCATGTACCGGGATTGCTCAAGGCTGTGAGGATGAATAAATCTGGATGGATTTTCCCTGGGTAACTTGAAAGACAGATTCTTGACACAGAGATCACCTGCAACTCAATTTCCAATTCTTCCTCCAGCACATCAAAAAGATCACCAGAACAGGACCTAGGAAAAAATATTCTCCCCTCTTGCTGTTTTCAGAAGCAGCTGAACCATTTCAGTCCCACACTTATTTTGTGGGGGGCTGTGTGGAATTTTTTCTTTTTTAATAACCAGAGGCATGAATAATTTCCAGCATGGAAAACTTCTGCCTGAAGAGCTAAAATTGGCATAGAATCATCCAAGAGTCACACAAGAAGGGCCTCCAGCAATGGCAACAGTCAGTGCTACCAAGCCTACCTAGAGCATTTTTTTCCACTGTGCTCAGAGGATCTGTTTCACTCCTCACCTCTCAATCCAATTTCCACTGTCCTGCACCACAAGTTTAAAATAAGGACACCAGGAAGCATGTGTGATAAGGGGGAAGGAAGGGAAAAACCACAGCTTCTTTCATTCTTTCAACAGAGCTAAAAAGGAGTGGTAGTTAGAATTTTGGGATTTTTTTCTTTTTTTTTTTTTTTAAAGAAAAGCTGCAGGGAACAGCAAAGTGGGGAGATGTTTGCTTTAAATTTTCCCACCTCCACCATGATATATATTTACATGTATTTATACAGCATCTCTGCTTCTAAAGGTGTTTTGCAGAGTGTCTGGCTCCAGTGATGATGTTTTCCACCTCAGGAGCGTGCACAGCTCCAGACAGGATGGAGGGGAGCGAGAGGGAGGACAGCCACAATTCCCCACATTCCTTCCCCAGCCCAGGGAAACAGCACAGCTGGAGGCACAGAGCCCCCCAGAACTGTGCCCCTCTTGCAGCAGATACTGCAATGAGCCTGGCCAGCACCTCGGAGCTCCACGAACACGAGATGCTGCAGAGAAGGAAGCACGAGTTCCATTTCCTTCCAGCCCTGGCTGCTGCCCAACAGCTGTTCCTTGTTTATTTACTTTCATATTTCCTTGGTTACACAAGCAGCTGCTCACAGCTTAACCCCTGCTTGGGCCACCCTCCCTGGGGCTGGGTGACAGCAGGGACACCCAAAGCTGTCACCTCAGCACGGCCACAGCCACAGCTCTGCCGTGTCCCGTTGGGCAGGGGACAGGACATGCTGGGAGCAGCATCTGCTCCATCCCAGACTTTGCAGGAGCCAGCTGAACCTGGGAAAGCCATCTGCATTCCCAGGGGCTCGCTCTGCTGGCCAGGCTGGAATTTCAGCAGTGTGTTCCTGTCTGGATGCAGGTCTGGTGAAGGCTTTCTCCCTCTCCTCTGGAATACAGCTCACAGTGATGCTCAGCCTCGCCTCAGAGCGTTCTGGGGGCAGAGGGTGCCCAGCTCCTCCCCTGGTGCCACAAACAGCCCAGGAAGGGCATTCCAGTGGCCCCTCTGCCAGCCCAGAGATCCCTTTGTGCATTTTCTGTTCTCCTCTGCACGGAGCCTGTTCCAGCAGCTCAGTTTGTGTTTTGGCTCGTAAAGCCCAGCCAGACCCCTTGGCTCATCTCCACCAAGGAGGAGGTGCAAAACACCCTTTGCCTGCTCACCCAGAGCACTGGTTTGGGTTTTCTGCAGCCCAGCCTGTCCCAATTGCCTTTCCAGCCTCTGTTTCCCTCCCAGCTCCCTCCTGCACCAGGAGGGAATTAAATCAGAATTATGGAATGGCCTGGCTTGGAAGGGGCCTTACAGATCATTTAGTTCCAACATCCTGCCATGGGCAGGGACATCTTTTACCACACCAGCTTACCCAGAGCTCCATTCAACCTCTTCTTGGGATCCAGGGGCAGCCACAGCTTCTCTCTGGGCACCTGTGCCAGGGCCTGCCCACCCTAACAGGGAGGAATTTTTTTCTGATATCTGATCTTAACCCACTCTCTCAGTTTGAAGCCATGCCCCGTTGTCCTGTCACTTCATGCCTTTGTAAAAAGCCCCTCTCCATCTTTCCTGCAGGTGCCAAAGCAGCTGCTGCCAGGGGTGTGGGCCCTTCCCCAGGCCCTGCTCCAGGGAATCAAGTGTTTTCCAGTGGCAGTCCTGGTTTGCTGTGACAGCAGCTGGGAAAGCCACAGGAATGGAATTTGGACCTAACTCTAACAAAATCCTCCCCCAAATCAAACAAACCCCCCCCAATAAAACCCCCAGCAATTGCACAGATAAAGCAGAGCCCAGCAGCCCTGCTGACCTCAGCCCTTCACCCTCCCCAGGCAGAGCCCAGGGCTGGAGGATTCCCCACCTGCAGGTCGAAGAACTTGCTGTACCGTCGGTAAATGACCTCTGTGGCTCCATTGGACCAGGTGACCTTGATGATGTAGACCTGGAGGGAACAAAGGCACAAATCAGAGCGGGGAACCCAAAAAAACCCCACCACAACCCAAAAAAGCAGTCAGTGCAACCCCCACGGCTGGCTGACAACCAGGGGAACACTTCAGATCACTTCTGCAGCACCACAACTCAGCTAAGCCTGAATTATCGAGCCCCACTGCTGCAGCTTAACCAAATGTTTGTTTCTAGTGGAGAACCGAGCTCTGTGGCCCTGAAGAGGGGCACACATTGAAAGTGGAGTGGCACTCCTGTGTAAAAACACAGCACAAATCCCTCCAGACACAGGAGTTAATGACTGAACCTTGGCCGCCCCATTTACAGCTGCAGCACCAGATTTGATGTTGAGATCCAAGGGCAGCACCTGCACCAGTCCCTGGAACTGGGACTGCAACAGCTCAAGCCCCCAGGGTCTGAAACTCCACCTGTTTGGGTTTCTTACACTTGCTGGGGTGGAAATCAGCGTCCTGATCCTTCAAATGCCACAGGATCAACCCCCAGTCATTGCAGGTTATCCACAGAGCCCAGAACCAGGCTTTAACTGGTGATGAGTGCAGAACAAAACACCAAACCCAGCCCATTCCATCATTAATTATTCCGTGAAGGACAATGAGCAAATCACAGAATGAGGCAATTACTGATCTAATGCCCTCCCTTGTTTTTCACAGAAAGCAGAGATAACCCCGATGAGGGGCCAGTGTAACACCCAAGAGATAAAAATCTCAAATTGATAACAGATTGACTGAGCAGAACCACGGGCATTTTTTTTTTTTTTCTCCCAACTCAAGTCCTTATTTCCACCAGAAATTCAAGTATCAATTCCTTGAAGAAGGACCAAAATGTTCAGAAGCCCAGGTGAAGGGAACTTCTGCTAGCAAAATCGAGCATGAAGGCTCTTAAAAGCTGATGTTTTTGTATTTAAAACAGAATCCCTCAGCAGTTTCACAAGGTTTTTCCCGCTGAGATTCCCGTTTTTCCAGATTCTGGAATGTGACCAACATCCTAAACCATTATCCAAACTCAAACACCAGGACAATGCGACACTCAGGTATTTGAGTTTATCAAACCTACTCAAAATCTACCTCAAATCTCACTCTGCTGCTCAGAGGGCTGACACAGCCTGAGCCACCAAGGTGAGGACACTCCCGAGGGGTGACAAATTCTTCCCAGTGGGATCACGAGGCAGCAAGGAGGGATCAAGTTCTTACTGCTAAAATAAAGAACTTCCTTACTTCCAAACCAGTAATTCAAGGTCCACTTTTGTTGAACTTGGGTTGGAAGGGACCTTAAAGCTCATCCAGTCCCAGCCCCTGCCATGGCAGGGACACCTTCCACTGTCCCAGGCTGCTCCAAACCCCGTCCAGCCTGGCCTTGGGCATTTCCAGGGATGCAGGGACAGCCACAGCTGCTCTGGGCACCTGTGCTGGGGCCTCAGCACCCAATATCCCATCCAAACTCAGCCTCTCAGTCTGGAGCCATTCCCTGCTCTGCTTTCACTCCCAACCTCTTATTTTGAGATGAAGGACCCGCATTTCCTCCGTATTAACGCAAGGCAGACAGACGGATTCTCCAAGACAACATCTGCTCCAGCTGTGGAGGCCGGGAAGGGCCTCCAAGGGGGGCAGCACCCCTCCAGCAAACCAGGGGTTAACCTGATGTTAACACAGGCTCCAGCTCCTTCACCCTCTCCCCAGGACTTGCTGCAGGGCCAGCATGAGCTCATGTGGGCTGGAAGCTCAGCTGATATCCCAGTTTTCTGAGCAGCCCCCAGCACTCCTCGGGGTTATATCACCGCTGGCTGCCTGCCTGGAGAGAGCCTTCCACTGGGGCAGCAGGAGGAGCCAGCTTTTCTTCACTGTTTATCCCTATCCTGCCTTTATTTGGAGTCAACAGCTTATTAGACTGGGATTTTAATCAGGATGTGGATATACTCGAGCCAAAGCAATTCAGAGCTCTTCAGGGTAATAAAGCCACGAGGTTTGAGGGCACACCAGGCTTCCCTGAGTCCTCTGCAGCTGGGGGAAGGAGCCTTGCTGCTGAGTGATGAGCTCACTGCTGTTCTGCTGAAATGCAGATCTCCCAGGGGTCAGGAGAAGAGTTTCTTGCACATCCAACAGCAAAAAGGTCTCCGGGGGCATCTCCTCAGTTTCTGGAAAGCAGAGGAGATGGGGAAACCCACAGGAACGGGAGCTCCTCAGTACCTGGAAAACCTGGGCAGTTTCCTCTCTGCTTGTGGATATTCCTCGTCCTTCCAACAGCCCCATCCCACCAAGGGTCAGAACCATCACAGATCTCGGTCTCTCCCGATATCTAATCCAGCCCCTGCTGTCCCAGAAATAAAATAAAATAAAAAAACTCTTCAGAAAACACAGCTCTGGTGCTCCCCTCACCTAACTGGAAAGTGAGTGTTTCCAGAGGACTGGACATGAGGCACTAAGCTCCCACAAACCATAAATCCCTTCCCCAGGTGCTTTTGGAGGACACTTTCAATGATCAAGAGAGCTTTAAAACCATTGCCCTTGGTCTGAAGTTTCCCCTTCTGGCCTGGCACTGCGTTGTGTCCTGCCAGGAGCAGCCATCATGAAGCAGCAACAAAAATAACCCAAATTTTGTCCCCACCCCCCCAGCCCTGAGGAGGCTGCTCCAGGAAGAGGCTTTTCCCCAGCCCAGGTGTGGGGGAGGACATTTGGCAGCAGCTATTCCATGGATCTCCTCCAGCTCTGGTCTCTACAGGCCTTCAAAGAAATCCCACCGAGGAGGGACCTGCAGGGCTTTTCCTGGAGATCCTGGAGATTCCTGGGATCCCCCAGGGCTGCAGCTGGCACAGCTCTGGGGTGGGATGGGCACTTGGAGCCTGCCCCAGGGATTCCTGAGGGGACAGCAGGGAGGGGTGGCTGGATCCAGAGGGGTTTGGGCTGGGCCAAAACCAACAGCTGAGCTGTCCAAATCCCAAATATCCAAATATCTGCAGCCCTTCCCGGGCCAGCTGTGGGGTCTGCAGCAGGGGAGGGAAGGAGCTGAGGTGATGAAACCCAGGAATGGTGGCTGCCCTTCTTCCTTCCCTCTGCAAAGGATGCCCTGCCCTTCTTCTGAGAGCCTCCAGTCCTGGGAGGCACAGAAGCCACAGTTTTTGAGGTGCAGGTGGATCTTGCTGAGTGCCAGGTCAGGGCAGCGTTTCTCATGAACACCAAAGCCTGTTCCCATCCCTCAGGACAGGAATGGAACAGACCCTTCACAGCAAATGGAAACCTGCAGATGCAAAAGGCTACAACAGACTCCACTGGAACTGGGCTCCCAAACTCCTTGGGATCCCCACATCACAAGGAAATGGTCACAAACCAACTACTTCCAAGTTCCCAGTTGAGCAGTGTGACATCAGGACCACCAACCACTGCCCAGGGTCACACTGAATGCCCTAAATGGAAATACAACATGGAAAAAGGCCCAGGGGGTCTTGCAGCCCTGCCAGCCAGCACCAGGAGCTCGGTCCCCTGCATCACCACCCAGCATCTGTCACTGCTGTCCCCTCCCCACAGGGAGAACGGCCCCATGGAGAACGGGGATGAGAACCTCTGGAAGGGAAGTGTCAGGGAAAGGACAAGACATGCCCATGGCACCTGGCCAAGCACAGCAGAGCTGTCAGGGGGAGCTGTGGGACAGCACTCGTGACAAGAGAGAGCCACAGGGGACCTGGGACATCCCTCCTGGGCAGGGAGAGCTCCTGGGAGGCTTCAGGAGCCAGCTCAGACACATCCAGAGCCACGGGAGTCACGGGGACAGAGGGGATGAGAAGCCAGTGCGAATCTGAAAAGGGCAGCCAGAGATTTCTTTTTTTTTCCTTTCTTTTCCTCTTGAAGAAGTGAAGCAGCAAGCCCTGGGAGCAGTCAGCCACCAGAAGAGTTTTTGCAGGGAAATCCCTGGTGCTGCACACAGCAGTGGCTCCTGGTGACTTCCACTGCTCAAAGGGACCGGAGCCATTCCCAAATCCCCAGTCCTGCCCTTCCCAAAGAGGCACAAAGTCCCACACAACAGCACGGGGAGGAGAGGAGCTGACTCAAACTGCTGACTCGAGGCAAGGAAATTAAGAACAGATACTGAGAAAAAAAATAATAAAATAAAATAACAGAACCAGTTTCCCGTTCTAAAACACGAGGCCGTGTGACCTCGCAGAAGAATCACTTCTGGATTCTTTGCATAAACACACCAGGACAAGCTGGGAAGAAGCCTGGACTGCTTAAATGTGAGCAGGAAAAAGGCAGAGTGAAGGTGAGAAAAACACAGAGCTGCAGTTTCGGCTTCTCTCCTCCTACAGGAGTTTCCCAAAGTTTTTCATGGAGATTTGCACGGCATCGTGGCTGGGGGGGACCCACAGAAATCCCACAAGGAAGGATTGGAGAGGGCAGCTGCCTGGGAACTCTGCCTGGCACCCAGCTGAACCTGGCAGCAAGTCTACCCCAAGCTCAGCACCATCCAGCTCTGCCCAGGAGCAGCTCTGCCACCCAACACCAGCTCTCCTGGCACGGCACAGCGTTCCCTGGGTGGCTCTGAAGGATCCCAGAGCTCCCCTGGCATCCCTGTGCCCACAGCTCCTCCACACCCACACGGGCAGGGTGGAGAGCAGCACCAAGGTGACTTGGAAAGGCATTGCAGGGACACCAGAGAAGGTCCCCAGGCTCCAGCAGAGCTCCTGCAGCAGCTCCAGACATCACAGCCTCCAGCAGGGGCAGAGCTGTCTGCAGAGCTGCTTCCAAAGGCTTGGAGCCTGTGTGGTCTCGGCTCCAGGGAGACTCCACAAGAAACCTCTCTGTGGAAAACTCCACATATTTAAAGCATCTTTCACCAGCAAAGAGGAAAAGCATCAGTCAAAAGCGTCAGACTTCTGATTTCACCCGTGCTACCCCGACCCTGAAAGGAGAGGAGATGTGAGAGCCTCACCCTCCCTTTGGCCACCGCATGAGAAACCCAAAGGGGCAGAGAAACCAAAGGAGCTGAGCCACACAGCCAAGC